TACCTACCCCCCCCCCCCCCCCCCCCCCCCCCCCCCCCCCCCCCCCCCCCCACGAAATAGGATTTTCGAATTTGGGAACCAATTTTTTTTTTTTTTTTTTTTTGCTTGTAAACTTTTTCCAGGTAAGTAAAAAAAAAATTTCTCTGCCTGGCCCCCCCACTTTCAAAAACGATGCTACGCCACTGAGGAAGACAGTTTCTGTTTACAATGAGAGAACAATAAATTCTACTGAGAATAATTTAACTATTTTATGAGTTTTTTTATGTATTTGAAGTCAAAAGCCCCGTTATCGCCTGTTTTAGTTTATCTTCGAAGGAATTTCGGGTTGAAAAGGTAAGTGCGATTTTAGGCAAATTGTAGTATTCAAAACATGTTTCACACCGGAGAAAGATCCATTGAACATCTGAAAAATGAAAAAATGAAAAATGTCCGCATGTTTAAATTATTTTATCTTTTTCATCGCTTTTAACTTTATAGTTAACCAGGTGCAGGAATATGTGGACAAAATATGTGATTCGGTCACGCTATGACCTCTGCCCCCCCCCCCCCCCCCTAATAAGTTCATCAAAATTGATCTTATTTTCTCCTCAATATGTTCATCTAAGAAAAATATTTGCAAATGTAAAAATTTAGAATTAAACACCGGTACTCGTTATACATACCGTACCGAGTACTAGATCATCGTTTCATTTCATACCGATATTTTACTCCTATTTCTAAATATACAATTTTAAAGTGATTTTTTCAAAACGATATAAACACTAGCTCAAAAATGGTCCATATTATGTTGTAAAGTCATGCTAATAAAGAAAATGGGGCATGTGCCAATTTTTTATAAGCACTGCTAGCCAGTAAATTTTCAATATGTAATGACCAACTAGCGTCATGTGAAAATAGTACTCTAAGATGTTTGTGCTCATTGAGAAAGTCCAAATGGCATTGTTGGTAGAGAAGCTTTGGATATTCAATACTTCTCTTTGTGCTGAAGATTATATCTTTAGTTTTAGAGGGGTTGAATTTCATTAACCATTTCTTTTATCAAAGTTCTAGTTCATTAAGATCTCTGCTAAGATTTCTTTCAATAATTTTCATATTTTGAGATGAATGCTGCAAAGAATTGTCATATGCAAATAGTCTACATAAAGTAATCATATTGTCAGCAACATCATTCACATAAATTTAAAACAGAAGTGGCCCTAAAATTGAGCCTTGGGGAACACCAGCATACAAAGATTCAGGTAACGATAGCAAATTACGGTACAAAATTCTTTGATATCTACATTCTAATTATAGCTTTCTATCCATTTATACAATTTTCTATTTATCCCATATGTTTTAAGTTTAAACAAAAGACCTTTATGTCAGACATGATCAAATGCTTTTGATAGGTCACAAAATACCATACAACAAAATTGTTCATCATCTATAGATTTAATAATATTATATGTTTCAATTAACTGATATACAGTTGAGTGACCAGGTAGGAAACCAGTCTGATATTTGTAAAAGAGATTATTGCGATGAAAATAAAATTTCTGTACTTAAAAACCACTCGTTCCATGATTTTCCCTACATAGCTCAGCAACTAAATTGGTCTATAGTTTGAGATTACAGAAGGGTTTTCCTTTTTAAAAAGAGGAAGTATGTTAGCTAGTTTCCATTCTGAGGGGAAAACACATTCATTCAAAGATCGATTAAACAACAAAGGGGTTTGGAGAAAAAAAAACTTCTGTATTGATTCACAATTTAAGATTATATAAGTGAACCCCAGCATGTTAAAAATCAAAGTACTCAGAAGTACAGAGAGCCGGGCTCATTTACAGGGTAGAATGGATTTCTTACATGAATTACGTTTATACATGTTATATTCTGATGAAAAAATTATTTTAAAACTATCAATATAAACGATAAGACACTGACAGTGAGTTTTTTTCAATCCTAATACCACGGTCCGATTTTGTCAGAATCAGAATTAATCTGGTACCGCGGCTGAATGTAAACAAACATGCCAGTCTGGTTCCCTCTCCTGCTTTACCTCGTATGTGTAGTTCTTTGACTTATGAAGTTTTCAAAGTCATTACTACCAATGTTTATTTTATATAGATAAAACTTCGTTTTATTTTTGTTGCTTTATTTAGCGTTCGTATTATCTCAAAAGCGGTTGAGAGTAAGAACTATATTTTTGCACGTAACTTTAAAATGGCGACTAGGGGTCAACATCCTGCCTTGAACAGGATCGCATAAGCCGGTAATTGCTCTTTGAGCAATAAATGGATAAATGGTAAAAATGGTCACGCTCAAACTCGATAAGCAGTAGATAGAGTTTGACGAAGGATTTTTAATATTTGCAAGGGTGGTGCACACTTTTGGTGCACCAACCGTAAGTTTAGACCTCGAAAGACTGAAAGCAGAAAGAATCTGTTTGCAGGCAATTTATCTAACGGAGTTTCAGACGAAAATACAATTGGATGTGACCGACCTCGAAAAATCCAAGATGGCGTCCGATGGTTACCTTAGTTTATTATTAGGTAGGAGTATATTTTTTTAATTAAAAGAAAAATGAGTATAACGTCAGGTTCTTGTGATATGGACTGATGAATACTTTATATTACATATATGTATAGATTAGATGTTTTAGTGTAAACGGAAGGAGTTTTGCTTATAATTAAAAAAAAACTAAAAATCTGTATGAAAATTGTGACCTTTTAATATCCTTAAATCTAGATAAAATCCTGCATCTAAATAAAAAGAAGGGGAACTGTGCATGCGAGCAATGAGCTCAATGAATACTACCCCGCCTCCAATATGGTCATAATGACAAAGTCCATGTTCTGCACTGGGATTTCGAAATGTGTCTGATGAAAAAGTAAAATAAGAGGTGCATAATATCGCACTATATACCAAAGATTCAGTTTAAGTTTCATTAATTTTAATGAGTGGTAAAAGAGAAGTTGCAGATAAAAGATGGCTATCCCAAAACGCAACAGGCGAACGGAAGGACATCCCGATCACTGTATACCCTCCCGCTTTTCAACTGGGATATTCTTCGCAAGTACGTATGCTATGTATATTGTTAGAGTTTAAATGTACGATTGTATCACAGGCACCTGACGTTACTTATTTTTCTTTTAATAAAAAAAAATATACCCTTACCTTATAATAAACCAAGGTCCCCAACGCCGCCATCTTGAATTTTTCTAGGTCTGCCACATCCACTTGTATTTTCGTCTAAAACTCCATCAAATAAATTCCCTTCAACCATCTTCTTTCTGTGGCCAGTCTTTCGAGGTCTAAACTTACGGACACTGCAGCCAGAAGGGCGCATCACACTTGCAAATATTAAAAATCCCTCGTCAAACTCGATCTACTGCTTCAACAATCCGAGAAATCGCCAAAGGGGGGCCGGAAGTTTACATCAATATGCTAATGGGAATTCCGTATTTGTCAGTTTTGTGGTGGATCTAAAGCGGCGTGTTTTAATCACTTTGAAATTTTAATAAATAATTCGATTATTGAAATGAAAAAAAAATGCAAAATGGGAAAAATTAAACACTTCTTATGAATATACCTGTAAAATATACTGTATTAATCTATACAGATCGTTGCATTCGAAACAATCTTGAATAAAAGAGGGGGTGCTTGAAAAAAAAATCAACAATAAATCATCTAGAGTTTATTGAATGGTTTTCCAAAAACAATAGACTGCAAACCACCCAGTTATATATACATGTGTATATACATATATACCTGGCATATGCTTAATTGAAAAAGGGGAGGGGATACATGCACCTGATAAAAGAATATGTAATGAATGCAATTAGCTTATGCAATATGTATATGTATAATCTGTCACGTCACCAAAACAAAATAAAAATTTCGCCATGCCACTACTTTATTGCAAAACATAGAATTGCAGATTTCAACACTCCCCGGAATAATTTTAGTGTGGACCCCCCCCCCTCCCCGCACACACACACACACACACACACACACACACACACACACACACACACACACGTGCGTACATACTTTAAATAAACAAAGTCAATCTTCTCCACGGATAGCGCTCAATCAGGGCATCAATAATGACTGTGTTATTAATTATATCTAGTGCATGTAAGTAGGGACTTATACCCGACTCAATATTTTGTCTCAAAAATGTTCATTGATCAGCAAGCATGATATCAGGCCGATAAATATAATCGCAAGCTGTACATATCGAAATTATTTTGGAGAAAAATAAAATGAATGTTCTTACATGTATATTACGTTGTATTATTGTCTGACTTATTGTTTTTGGAACAAGTAGTTAACTTTCGCCGGTTATTTTTAAAAATAAATCGTACAAATATATTCACCAATCAAAAAAGGGCTTTCCTTAAGAATTTCAAGTCGTATGTAAACTTCCGGCCCCCCTTTGGCGATTTCTCGGATTGTTGAAGCAGTAGATCGAGTTTGACGAGGGATTTTTAATATTTGCAAGTGTGATGCGCCCTTCTGCTGCAGTGTCCGTAAGTTTAGACCTCGAAAGACTGGCCACAGAAAGAAGATGGTTGAAGGGAATTTATTTGATGGAGTTTTAGACGAAAATACAAGTGGATGTGGCAGACCTAGAAAAATTCAAGATGGCGGCGTTTTCTGAAACGTGATTTAGGCCCGTCTAAATTTTGATTAAGTTACTTAGTCGGACGAACTTAGGCCCAAAATCTACGACTTTTTGAGAAACGAGCCCCACCTGAGGTTTTTTAACAGAGCGAGTGCTTGCGAACATATCTATTGAGAGTATAACTAAGGATTTTTTGCGAGCGCTCGCGAACGTTAGCTCTGTTGAACAGTTGAATAGGCCTCTGACCTGCTACATTATTTTGGTGAACCCTGACAGGATTTTCATTGTCGTGGGTAGTGCCTTGTATAGACACGTGGTACACAATGTGAGTCCTATTCAGTGATTCGGACTTGGCTGAAATCTATTGTCTAGTAAAACCTGTTTTTCCATCTTGCCTATTGTTGGGTAAAATGAATTCACTTTTTCTTGGGCTTAGAGTGAGGTATGTTGTGATTTTTTTTTCACTTGTGGATTTCAAACTTTGATTTTTTTCAACTACTTTATTTCTTAAATAGTTTAATTAGAATTGAATTAGAAATGTTTTCGGAGGATTTAAGATATGGTCTTATGGTCTTATAACATCTACTCCAGCACGCTCTAACAGAAGCGTTCGTTTTGATATTGAGCAAGAGAGAGGTTTTAATTAGAGAGAATTACGCAGACAGGTAGAAAATCTTACTGCTGAATGTTCTAGGTAAAAGGATGAGATAAACAGAACGAAAGCTGAGAAAGAGAGATTTAAAAATTTAAATTCTGAGAGTGCTTAGACATTTACAATCTGAGAGTGATTTTTATTCAGATACTAGTCTATCTAGGGGTCAAAGGTCAGATAGAAGATGGGGTATTAGTGGGTCTGATTAGTGGGTCTGCTAATAAACGAAGGAAATAAGAAAATCCCTTCATTTGATGGTAGTTGTGAAATTACAGAACTTTTCATTCAATTTAACGAAGTAGCTCTATGGAATTAATGGACAGTGAGAGATTATGTACAAGTCAGTTGATTATGAGTCTGAAGGGTCCAGGGGCATGCATGGCCCGTAGTCGTCAAGCAGACTGGTATTTTTAACTTGAATAAATAGTACAGTAACTTTGGATACTGAAATAGTCGCTAGTTTTTTCTGACCAAACCCAGATATATTTGTTAAGGTGCCCCCCCCCCCTAAACACGTTGCCATCCTGGTGTGTTTTTTTTTAGCTGAGGGTGGGAAAAAATTTTACCTGAATTTATAACGTCAGGAATTGCTACTTTCAAGAAGTTATACTTTTGATCTGTTTTCAGCTTACATTTCTAATACAGTTCAGTTAAAAAAATGTGGTGTTATACAAATAAAAAGGGTTCTGAGCATGAAATTAATCAATATAAAATAAATACGTCCAACGTGATAAAAATTATCCGATGAACTGCTTTAATGAAAAAGATGTGTTTGTGAAAAACTATGCGCCCGGCGGCAACAAAGTTCGAAAATGCTATTTTTAGCATATAGGTCACAGTCAAGGTCACTAGACCTTGGTGTCATTTGAAAGAACTTAACTGGTGTAGTATGCATACCCCAAATATGAAGTCTCTATCTCTCATGGTTAAAAAGTTATGGTGAAAGTTCGAATAAGCTATTTGTACATGTAGCATATAGGTCACAGTTAAGGTCACAAGTCATTGACTTTGGTGTCATTTGAAAGAGCGTAATTAATGAAGAATGCAATTCCTGAACTAATGCACGTTTGGAAAAAATCAGTAGCTGTACTGTATAATAAATGTATTTGATGCACCCTACAATTAAGAAATGAATGTCTATAACTGGATCAAATCATATATAGATTCAATCCGATAAAAAATTGCAAGTACCAAACCGTGGTACTTGTAATTTTTTAATCGGATTGAATCTTTATATGATTTGATCGAGTTATAGACAAATTAATAAATTTAATTTTTAACCATGCTTTATGCTTCTTTCAGAGATGGAAAACATCCCAATGCAACTCATATGGAAGACCTTTTTATGTGTATTTGCTCTAAGTGTTTTAACTCAAAGTTTGAAAATTTGGAATTGGAGATCAGAAGTTCAGTTTCAAACAGAATTGTCTAATATGAAAAGAGATATGCATGTGCCTTCCTTAGAAGGATTCAACACACAAGTACAACAGAGTGCGCGACCACTAGAAGCATGTAAAAAATTCAACAGAACCTTCCCAACCTCGATGGAAGAAAATATGAATGTTGTGAAGAATTACAAGTTTACTGTGCCAACTGAACTTTTACATCGTCTTCAACTTGATGATGAGGGTATAAATACTTTGATAAATCGAAAACAAAACAGCTCCATACCTGTGATTGTATCAGGGATCTCAGATAACCATTTTGGCGAATTTGATGGACTACTCCACTCTATCAATATCCACCCGCGAAAAAAATATCCAGAGATAAAGTTCATAGTATTTGATTTAGGGTTATCAAAAGCCCACAGAGCTGATCTACAGAAGAAATGTAAATGTGATGTTAGAACATTCCCTTTTGAGAAATTCCCTTCCCATGTAAAACGTTTGCAAGGATATACCTGGAAGCCCATTAGTCTTCAAATGATGTTACAGGAATATGATTTTATCATGTGGGTGGACTCTTCTATCCGTTTCAATGAAAAATTTAATCAATTATTTGAACGAGCAAGGCGTATAGGGATTCAAATTCTCGAGGGAGACGGTTCAATCACTGTTCGAACACATCGAGGTTTATTTGACTTCCTAAAAGAAGAACCTTGCATGTTCAACTATCCGGAAGTCCAGCCTGGGTGGTTTCTTATCAAGCGAACTAAATTCGCACTGAAAATGTTACTGCGTCCAGTAGTGTCGTGTGCACTACAATATGGCTGCATGGATTTCCCGGATGCTGGAAGGTTCTTATACTGCAAAGACCCAAACAGACCATCAGCTTGCCATAGATATGACCAATCTGTTCATGGAATCATCTTGACGAGAATATTTAATAAAGTTCGAAACTCCATCACGTTTAAAGAAAAAGAATTTGGAAGTGTGTCCAGATCGTGATAGTCAAAGTTTATGTACAATGTTTTACATATTTTAGAATCTATTTGAATATCATGCGTTTGTTAAATATTTTATAGTAGCAGTTGAGTTTTTTCTTCGAAGTCAGTAACTTGTTATGCACAAGATATATGAACATTGTTACTTGTAATATAAATGCATTTATCAATTAATTTTGTCTAACATAATAAACATACACTGTGCTTCAGTTAAAAACTGAGGTGGATTGATTGATTGATTGATTGTTATTTGTTTTACTTCACATTCGAGAATTCTTCAGTCATGTAGAGACGTCACCAGGTACCGGTAATAGGCTTCAACTTTGACCTTTAACCTTTACTCTGCACCCAAGGCCATTGAACAGTGAGGGATCTTTATCGTGACAACACCTGTCGTGCATTTTAACTTTTGTCTTTATAACCAGTTGTGCACCCCACCCCTCAGGAACTATACTGACCCTGGGGCCACATGTTTCAAAATTTAGGAAATTTTATAAATTTATTTCATCATAATGGTTGATTAATACCAAAGAGCAGATTTCAAAGCATTAATTTATTTTCAGACTATGTATCCCCCGAAACCCCATGATTTGAACAAACTTAAATCTACACTTCTGAGGATGCTTCCATGTAAATGTGATCAATCATGGCTTTATTGTTCTTGAGGTGAAGATTTTTAAAGATTTTTCATATATATATTCCAATCTATAACTTTGATCATCCATTGTAGCCTGATTCTTCTCCTGGGGGTCATGATTTGAACAAACTTGAATCTACACTACCTAAGGATGCTTCCATATAAATATGACCAATCATGACTTTGTTGTTCTTCGTCAGAGGATTTTTAAAGGTATTTCCTATATATTCCTTTGTAAAACTTTGATCGTCCGTTGTGGACCCATTTTACCCTCGGGAGTCATGATTTGAATCTCAAGTATCTTTAAATGTCAACTTCAGAGAACTTGTGTTCAAAATAATTTTGAAAATGACCAAAGACAAGGTATAAGTAAATTTACGAGTTCCATATATTTAGTGAGAAAGCAGCTGTCAATGATATAGAAAAGCCTGGACTTAGATTTATCGTGGAGAATGATGGGGTGTAAAGTCGAATGAGATATAATAAAAAAGATTGATAGAACATTTTCTGGAAAGCGGTATGCATTTTTTTTATATAAGGATTTTTTTTTTTTAATGAAATTTAGGAATCCGGTGTAAAGACGAATAATGACCCCCATCGTATAATGACCCTTTTGCCCGTAGAAAAAGTGGCACCACCCTACAAATTTGCAGAACCCACGTGAAGAAAAATTACCCCCGTAGAAAAATGACTCCCTGTGGATTAAAGCTGAAAATTTTAGGGGGCAAAAAAAAAAAAATAGATAAAGAAGCATATTGGCCAAAATGCTCATCTGAGCTGATTTAGAATAAATTGATGATATGTTGATCTTATAACATACGATTATAGCTATATTTTAAGGTCAATGCAATGATTCAGAATCTAAAGGAGTAAAGATTTATCGAGCCTAAAGGGTTACGTAAACATTGTTTTTCATCGTACTGACAGAAAAAATCAACCGTATCATATTTTATTATATCCTCCGCTTCAGCCCCGGGGGGATCCGGGTTAGAATAGGTCCTCAGTACCCCCTTGCTTGTCGTAAAAGGCGACTAAATGGGGCGGTCCTTCGGATGAGACCGTATAAACCGAGGCCCCGTGTCACAGCAGGTGTGGCACGATAAAGATCCCTCCCTGCTCAAAGACCGTAAGTGGCTAGCATAGGCCTAAATTTGCAGCCCTTCTCCGGCAATGGTGACGTCTCCATATCAGTGAAATATTCTGGAGAGGGACATTAAACAGTATACAATCAATCAATCAATCCTCCGCTTGAAAAGCAGGATGGTAGTGTATATAGTGATCGGGATGTCCGTCCGTCCGTCTGTTACGCTTTGGGGTATCCATCTGTTATCCGCATCTCCTCTTATATATAACAAGCTAATTCAGAGAATTTGTGTCCCCCGCTTAGGGAAAAAGTAAACCATGCGCAGTTCCTGGAGGGGGAGGGGGTGTCGGATCCCCCTGACTTACGATGTAAATAATGAAATTTGTAGAATTATGAAATGTATACATGTTTACTGAAGCAAATAAAATACATGTATGTCAATATGCGTATAAAGATTTGATTGCTTATTCTTTATTATGTGTATAGAAGATTCTTTTTATATGGAATATTTATCACACTGTAATAATGATTTTATAACCTCATAAATTTTTCATTTCACATGCTGAATACTATCATTCAGTAAAAAAAAAGTTTTAAAAAAAAAGAAAGGATCGACCGAGATTCGATCCCGGGACCTCTTACACTTGAAGCGAGAGACATGACCACTGGACCACGGAATCGCTTTACGCAATGTGAAGTATATGCAGAACTAAAGTCGCATACATGTATATATTCATGTTTTCATGTTCGGTATTCTCAAAATTTTACACAATCCATGGTGTTTGATTTATTTAGCCTTTATTATACAGTTCTAATAGATGTAATAAGATCATAAAGTCCACCGAGAACCTGTTTCATACGCAATAACTCTCCTCATGCCCGTGCGCTAAAAATAGCGACATGTATTGTAATACTATAAATACTAATAAAACAAACGGGGCGGGGCACTTTGAGAGGGGTGAGAGACGTCCTACGGAGTTTTGGTATAAAATTACATTGCATAAGCTCAAAATCTTCTTGAAATATCGCCCAGAAATGATAGTATTACACACAAACAGAATGTATAAATTTACGACCTTGAACTTTGACCTTTTGACCTCAAAATCAATAGAGGTCTTCAATAGGCCACAGGGAGTTCTTATATAAAATTTCATTGCAATAGCTCAAATGGTTCTAGAGATATCGTGTGGAAACGAAAGTGTTTTAACAGACAGAATTTTCATATTTATGACCTTGACCTTTGACCTTTTGACCTCAAAATCAATAGGGGTCTTCTTTAGTCCATAGGGAGTTGCTATGCTAAATTTCATTGCAAAAGCTCAAAGGGTTCTCGAGATATCGTGTGGAAACGAAAGCGTTACAGACAGACAGAAAGACGGACGGACGGACGGACAAACCCAAATTAATATCCCCCACTTTTCAAGCGGGGGACAAAAAGATGTGTTTGTGAAACAGCTATGTCCCCGTATGGCAACACAGCGAAAATTAAACTTTTCTTAAATGCAATTTGAATATAATGGTACCCAAAGTAGAGTCTTCTCACAAGAAATACAATTGCAAAATAGGAAAGCCCTAGCACCACTTGTTCAAAATTAATGGCAAAGGATGAGTGTATGAAAGGTAGCTCAAACTCAAAGGTCAAAGGCTCAAAGTTGATGGTTTCTTAAGAAAGGTTTAATGTAACAAGGATTACATCTGTGAAGTATGAGAGTACTTATGTCTAGTATTTACCGTTTAAAAGTTATAGCCAAGGTAAATTAAAAATTTGGCTTTTTTTTGTAAAATGGGACGAACTTTAACGTAAAGGTCAAATTTGGTGGTACCCAAAGTAAGGTCTTGTCACAAGGAATATACACATATTGAATATGAAAGGCATAGCTACAATAAATGAAAAGTTATGGTCAAGGTTAAAGTTTTTGCGGAGAAACAGGCCGCCAGATAGACAGACAGACATACAGACGGACACAATAAAACTTTATACCCCCGAATCTTTGATTACAGGGACATAAAAAGAAATGGTCTTCAATTAACTTTTTATATTATGATACAGTATAAAGAAGACATTACAAAAATGAAAATATTTGTTCTGATTTTCATATCAAATTCTCTGAAAAATATACTCAGAACTGCATGGGTAAAATGGTGGAGTAAAACAAGAATTAAGAAATGTAATGAATACTGTGTGCTAAATCAAAAGGTTATGTCTACATGTATAGTTTTTGCATTAGAATGTGTATTTTACACTAGACCATAGCTTTACAGAGCATATTTTTAGGTGTTATACCAACCCCATCCCCATAACTAATTTAGGAGGAAGTTGATTATCAACAAAAGCAACAAAAAAAACTAACGTACCTTTATTTTTCTATAAGGAGGGACTAAAAATAAGCTTAAAATAATCTACCATTCTACTTACTGAGTATTTTTAACTGTTACTTTGTCACAATACTTTCAAGTATACCCCCACCAACATTTGAAGTTATGCTTTTATCATGGCGAAGTAAATTATGATATGATAGAACTTGTGTGAAGGCTTAACTTCTTTTATCTAGAGCCTCTCTCAATATTATTGAAAGGTATAGAGTTTTATTTCTATTTTTGCTTTTCATTTATTGTTTTTTTTTTGTTTATTTTTTTTTTGTTTTGATTTAACGTAATTTTTTTTTTGGGGGGGGGGGTGTTAAATATTTCCTCCTCTTTCATTGCCAAATAGGATTTACCAAACTTATACAAGCTAAAAGTTGTAATGAAGGAAAAATTAATTTTTCTATTAAAGAGTTTTGGATACCTGATTGTTGCATGGTTTGATTTCTAAAAACAAGTGGAATATCATTCTTTAAGCAAACACTATTAAGGAGGAATATTAAAAAGAAATTTTATTTACTTGACAATTAAAGAATCTCTTTTCACTTTAAAGGGGGTCATTTTTCAATGGGGGTCAATTTTGTATAGGACTAACATATAAAATAATGACCCCTGGGACACTTTTTCTACAAAAAATGACTTTTTTCTACGGGTAGGGGGTCATTTTTTTCGTTGAAAAATGACCCCCGGTCATTATTCGATGGGGGTCATTATTCGTCTTTACACCGACATAGGAACGGTAATTCAAATTCATTTTGTTTGAGTCGAACAAAACAAAATATACAAAAATTGACATGATTTTGAAGAAATTCCTCCTTTAAAGGGGAGCTATGGGTATAAGTTGGATTACCTTTTAATAAAATCCCAGTTCCTTTCAGAACGATTAAAATGAGTTTCATCAACAAGGACAATACCGTAAATATGGAACGCCGGGACTGTCTTATATGGGGATTAAATATTATATGCAGTGCTTCCTTTATTATATGCGTTACTATTTTTATTATATGAAGTAGTTTTTACTTTATATTGTGTACAACCTCCATTATATACAGTACTTCTCTCATTATATGATGTAGATATGTCATTATATTATGTACATCTATCATTATATGAAGTGCTTTTAACATTATATGCGGTAGTTCTATCATTATATGCGGTAGTTCCAACATTATATGGAGTAAACACAACAATATATTATGTACTTCTCACATTATATACAGTACATTCATCATTATGTGTAGTATTTCTGTTATTATGATGATGCAGATCATTAAATATTATGTCCGGTCCAGTTAGCATTCCGTGCAGTAGATTTTGCATTTCGTTGTGATGTAGACACAGTATTATATGCGGTGCTTTCTTCTTTATGATGATGATCTTTCGGAAGCTACCCTTCGGAACTCTCTGTTCAAGGTTCTTCTTTCTATCAACTGTTGAATTCAGTACAATTAAAATACATGCGCGTATTATTTATGTCTCTGATTAAAGCAGTGAATAATGAATGCTACATGAACTGATTAAATTGTTTTTAAAAGATAAGAAGTAGGGTAATAGAGTAAAATAAAATGCCATCTATTTTATGGTATGAAGTAAAAAGAGAGAGAGAGAGAAGGGGAGTGGAAAAAAAAAATGAGAGATTTTTTTTCTTTCTTGTGAACAATATGGCATTCAAAAAGCTTCATTTCATATGTAGGACAATCAATTTCAAAATGGGTAATGAAAAAATAATAACTGATGTCTTCGAGTACGCAGGTCTTTAACAGCGCGTTATAGAAAACATTACATTATTTATTTACTTGTATTTAGGGGTGGTGTGTGCTAATTTTTCATAATGTAAAATTACCCTTCATCTCTCAATTTAATAGGCACAAGGGTTTCTACCACATATCTTTTTAAAAGTAAATTCTTGAAGTACAATCCACGACGACTCAATACAGTGACGTAGACGTTGTTTTTGAAAGTGGGGGAAGGGGGAGGGCGGGGGGTTCAGCGGGAGAAAAAAAATAACTCAAGTTACCTGAAGAAAGTGGACAAGTCAATAAACATTGAGAATTTTCAATAGTAAAAGTTATGTTTAGGAAAAGGGGGAGAGTGTTACTACGCGCGTCATAATGTCTGCTCTGAAAATCGCATGTCTTTTCCTGATACATATCATTTATATAGTGCAGTTAAAGACAGTGAATATCATACATTTTTTATATGCCATAGTTTAACAATTAATACAATGGAATGGTAAAAATATTTCAATGATAAGCGCATCTCTCTCTCTCTCATTGTAATTAAACTACTGAAGTATTGACATGACTTCGAAATTCCTTTAATTAATGTAGGGATAAATCTAGTTAATAAGTCAACGAAATCTTAACAAGCTTGAAATTCAACCATACTTAATTTTTTCCAATTCCAAAAATCTTTGTTCTTTTTTAACTGGATTGAAAATAAGTGTGCACAAAATAAAGATAGATGTTGGCAGATTATGTTACCCAAGAGATGAAAGATATTGTATGAACTGTTGTTAAAGATGAACATAATTTTTTATTTGTTTGTGCCCTCTTTATAAACAACTAATCATGCACGGATCTAGAGAGGGTGGGGTCAAAACACCCCCCCCCCCCTGGACTTTGCAAATACTAAAGCAAGAAAAAGGTAACCTTGGACCACCCTCGGAAATCGCAGACCCCCGCCCCCTGGTAACCGCGAATTTGTGTTAAATTGGTATGAAAAGTCAGAGGTTTGAAAAACTAGAAGTCATTGACTCCCCCCCCCCATGTAATAGGTATTTGAAATTTAGGCGATTGTACGTTTTTTTTTTCGGGGGGGGGGTGGATTTTATTTTTTTGGACTGGGGTGACCCCCCCCCCCCCTTTGAAAAAATTCTGGATCCGCGCCTGAACTAAAAAGTGAATTTTGTACACTTTTCAAAAATACATGTATATAAACTTACGAAATTCTTAATTCAGCAGATGTTAAATATACAAGAAATATTTGTAACTTCATACGTGTTGCATTTAATTAATGTAAGAAAATCCATGTGACTATATTATTTATTATTTTTGTTTACTTGCGCCACATGTGGTTTTTGTCAAACTAAATAAATAAAAAAAATATAACCTAAAACCATGAAGAATGTCCATATCTAAGAACGCAAAAAGTAAAACTTTCTAAATATAACAGAGGGGTTTTCCGAAGGGTAGCTTCCGAAAGATCATCATCATAAAGAAGAAAGCACCGCATATAATACTGGGTCTACAGCATAACGAAATGCAAAATCTACCGCACGGAATGCTAACTGGACCGGACATAATATTTAATGATCAGCATCATCATAATAACAGAAATACTACACATAATGATGAATGTACTGTATATAATGTGAGAAGTACATAATATATTGTTGTGTTTACTCCATATAATGTTTGAACTACCGCATATAATGATAGAACTACCGCATATAATGTTAAAAGCACTTCATATAATGATAGATGTACATAATATAATGACATACCTACATCATATAATGAGAGAAGTACTGTATATAATGGAGGTTGTACACAATATAAAGTAAAAACTACTTCATATAATAAAAATAGTACCGCATATAATAAAGGAAGCACTGCATATAATATTTAATCCCCATATAAGACAGTCCCGGCGTTCCATAGTTCCATACGTAAAGCTGGTTTTCTTGGTGAATGTAATGTTTGGCATTTTGCTTGCTCAAAGGTATACCAATGATTTTGGCGTAATTTATTTTACTGTACACATGGTTTTAACACGATGCAGAAGAACAATGGGAAGAATATTGATTATTTTAGCGATTAAATTCTAGCAAACCAATAACAAAATGCTTAAATAAGCCAAAATGAGCACCCCGCTAAAATAACCTGCTATACGGTATATAGACTTATTCTGATAGGACCTCTGTACCAGACAGAGAGTTTGCCGAATGTTGTCTACAAACGAGACATGATATCCTTGTTTCATTAACTTATCTGTCAATAGATTTTCTCTTTGTTAGTTTTTCAGAAGTTATCTGAACTTTCCCACGAATTACTTTTTGAACAAGTACCTCAGATTAAAATTGAGAAATAATATTTTTGTACATATTTTAATCAATGTTGTAACATCCACGTAGGGTAAGTAGATATATTGCACAGGCACCTGACGTTACTTATTTTTCTTTTAATTAAAAAAAATACCCTTACCTTATAATAAACCTATAAAAGGTAGGGGTATATTTTTTTATTAAAAGAAAAATAAGTAACGTCAGGTGCCTGTGATATATTGTTTCACCCTTAAAAATCTGTCCCTATACAAATCTATACGGAAAAAAGTCTAACATTTCTAATGTTTTGCTGAGTGGGCATAAAAAATCGATGTTGGACCGCTGAGTAAGATGTTAGACCGGTCGATGATATGTTGGACCGCTTACGTCACAGAATGGGTGGAGCTTAATCTCATTTTCATTCGTTGGTGGTCAAAAGTGACGGACCTGATGTTACATTACGAAGACAGCTAGTACAAAATACATGTATGTGAAATAAATAAAATGAAAAATATAACAAAACATTTATTGACTGTGTTCTCGGGAAAAATGCGTTTTGTCGACCCTCGAAACAAACTGTCTGCCTTCGGCCTAACGGCCTCAGGCAGACAGTTTGGTTCTTGGGTCCAACAAAATGCATGTTGCTCTCGATCTCTGTCAATAAATGTATATTAGTACACAGTAATTTATCTTCACCACCTCCGCCATTGTGAATTGTTTCCTTCAAGAACAATTTAAGTAAGCCGTTTATTTAAGATTTAAAAATGATTCATTGCAAACACTTTTTGTTTACTGCCAGAGAGAAGGAAATTCTCCATTGAAGGCATTCCTGGTTTAATTCTTAATTTACTAATTTACGTTCGATGGCTGCAAAGTGGCATCCATTTTTTCATTATTCCTTTAACAACATGAGTGACATCTGTCTATCTAAAAGTCACCAACGGAACAGTGGGCATGTTCCCATCCTTCCACTGGCATAGGGTCCATGTGGAATGGAGTGGAGTGGAGTCTAAATTATTCATTTTAACACTAGCTACTTGGATTTTTCACTTCCTGCTCGGTGACAGTAATTATAACAAAGTGAATCCTGGTGGACTATCAGAACAGTCACAGAGGATCAGTGTTTGATTTACAGAGATCATCCTCTTTGCAAAGGGATACTCCACATTGCAGTGCCCTTTTTATAATGAAAATTAAACAAAACAGTAGAAATTTATAAATATTTATTTCTACTGCTGCTAAATAATGAAAAAAATTCTAAAAGATGAACATAGTTAGATGTATAATAATATAAATAGCAAAAAGAAAATTGTAAACAATTGATAACAATTAGAATGCAATAAGTATATTTTTAAAAATAACAAGGTAATTTATAAAAGCAAGTATGAAGACTTCTCGTAGAATAACTCAATATTGTACCCTGAATTACATAAAATGTACTCTGTTGTACAGTTGTGGTGGTTAGCACCATATTAACAACTTCTGAACGAAAATGCAACCTAGAAATAATTGATATCATTAACAGTATATCCATTAATCAGTAAGAAGAAACAATATTACAGTCTTAGGAAAACATAATCATTGCTAACATAGACTCCCATCATAAATGATTGAGCTATGTTAATTCAATTCTTACATAATTTAAACATACAATCAGAAATCTATGAAGTTAAAGCTCACATCTTGAGTTAACAAAGTTTATAAAATGTATCATTTTCATCATAATGCTTAACAAACAGTGTAACATACAGTGTATATATTTTTAAAAAAGAAGATAAAATTACAACATTTAAAAATAAACACTATCTGTATTTTGATTTTTAGTTTTAATCTCGTTGTTCTTTAATAGGCCATTGCACAATGAATCTACATTATGTTACCAGTTTAAAGGATATGTGACCATGTTCTAATCACTGATTGGTCAATCTTGTTCTCATTAATGATTGGTCAATCATAATCTGATTACTGATTGGTCATTTAACCATTTTTTTCTGCTTGCTATTATAAAAGATCACAGGACATTGGACTCCATTTATCAATATTATGCAACATTACCACCAAGAAATGTCCTCAAGTTATAGCTGCATTTCTTAATCAAATGATAAATTGATAAATACAGACAATACGAAATGACAAAATTTATTAATATATCAATTCAAAATATAATGAAATTTTAAACATTAGTACAATATGTGTATTACCAGGTATAATATCAAAAAATCACTAGCGTTAAATAAAAGTAAAGTCAGGTGATTGACTTTAGTTGAACAAGACTCAGACTACAGACTACTAAGTTAATCCACTGGACAAGAGGTGACTATAATCATGATATCTCCTTCATGTCCTAGACCAGTGATGAAGCACAGACAGACAGACTAACAAAGATGGAGACCTACTTCACATCACTATGATTATTGCCCTCATCCAAATCTATCCACATCGTCTGTGTTGTCAACTTCCATCATTTTATTTAAGGCCTGAAATAAATGTATAGACTCTAATAGGCTGGATTGCAAACCAGAAGTCTCTATCGAGACTGTAGCTCTACTGGTTTGTACTTATCAAAAACCTTTGCACTATTTTATGTATCTTTGTGTAGTCTACTTGTGTGCCAACTTATTTTGAAATCAAACTAAAACTGTAGAAGGAGTAGCGTTTTAAAGGAATTTCACAGAAAATTCTATTTTTAGTAACCATGGTAACACCGTTCATTGAAATCAAAAACCAATGCACTATTCTATGTATCTTTGTGTAGTCTACTTGTGTGCCAAGTTATATTCAAATCAGACCAAAACTGTAGAAGGAGTAGCGTTTTATAGGAATTTCACAGAAAATTCTATTTTTAGTAACAATGACATCACCTTCATCGAAATCAAAAACCGATGCACTATTCTATGTATCTTAGTGTAGTCTACTTGTGTGCCAAGTTATATTGAAATCAGACCAAAACTGTAGAAGGAGTAGTGTTTTAAAGGAATTTCACAGAGAATTTTATTTTTAGAAACCATGGCAACATCATTCACCTAAATCAAAAACCAATGCACTATTCTATGTATCTTAGTGTAGTCTACTTGTGTGCCAAGTTATATTCAAATCAGACCAAAACTGTAGAAGGAGTAGTGTTTTAAAGGAATTTCACAGAGAATTCTATTTTTAGAAACCATGGCAACATCATTCACCTAAATCAAAAACCGATGCACTATTCTATGTATCTTAGTGTAGTCTACTTGTGTGCCAAGTTATATTCAAATCAGACCAAAACTGTAGAAGGTGTAGCGTTTTAAAGGAATTTCACAGAGATTTCTATTTTTAATAACCATGGCAACACCGTTCATCGAAGTCAAAAACCTTTGCACTATTCTATGTATCTTAGTGTAGTCTACTTGTGTGCCAAGTTATATTGAAATCAGACCAAAACTGTAGTAAGAGTAGTGTTTTAAAGGAATTTCACAGAAAATTTTATTTTTAGCAACCATGGCAACACCGTTCATCGAAGTCAAAAACCGATGCACTATTCTATGTATCTTGTAGGAGGAGTAGCCTTTTGAAAAATTGTTTACAGACAGATGGACAGACAGACAGACAGACGGACGGACGCCGGCTTGAAAAAAAATGTGACGCATTACTATCGCATAAGCTCTTCTGGTCTCTGACCAGTAGAGCTAAAAAGGGGCATTATCTTCAGTAAAACATTCTTATGACAAATTGATTTTCTGCCCTAATTGTTTTAGAGCCTATTATGTAATGATCTTTAAATAGAAGGAGCTTGAATTAACATTGATAGGGATGCATTTTGCTACAAACATGTTTTACTGCTCACTCCCATTTCTTTAGAAACGAAAAAGAAATATGCGTCGTAACATTCGGCCCCTCTTTGTGACAAGCAACATGAGTTAGACCAAATAGAGATTTTTAAAGTTATATTATAATATTAGGAGTTCTTGCTTCTGTAAAACACTGATTGCAACGGATTTGACCATAATTATGAATTTATCATGTTTATTGAAGTTTCCATAACACATGTATTAGTTGAACACGTGCTTACTCTGTGTTTATGTAGACCGTCAATTTGATTGGCTATTATATTTATTGTATGAAAATCATCGTTCTAAAGATAGCTCAAAACGTTCCAGTCAAACGGAAAATTTTATTTAAGATATCTCATGGAATGAAGGATATGAAGATATCAAACAATATTCAATCTCAAAGTCCATAAAACAATTCAAAATAAAAGCAGGCAAACACGAACCGCCAAAACATCAGAGGTGGGATCAGGTGCCACGGAGGAGTGGAAGGGATTACAATTATAAACCAGTATATTAAGGAATCCTTCTACAGCCAATATTCTGGCTGATATAAACATGTTTCTAGTTAATGTAGTAGGTACAGTGAAAACTGTCAAATCTGACACCAGTGTTATCTGTCACACTGTGTATTCTGTCATAAAATTTCTTTTCCATTTTAACTCTTTTCAATGTTTTTTTAACACTTTGGAATTTGACAACCTGTCTATTCCGACACAAAATTTGTCTCCCAGAGTGTGTCGGATTAGACAGGTTTCACTGTACATATGTATATCAATAGCATTTATAAAAGCTTACCTGAGTTAATCAAAGGTACAGATTTCTACGAGCCAGTCTGATTTTGTCAAGTTCTAAGTCCTCTAGGTATCGGGCTCGTGATAAACGCAGAGACTGAAAAGTTAACAATATTATAAAAATGCTTCAGTGACATAATTAGTGTGATAATTCATACTGAATTGGGGCCTGCTTGAAGTATGCTCTTGATTACTGGATTGTTCTGTGATGCATGGTTCCTAAGTGAAACTCCACTTAGATGCTAAGCTTTCTCTGTGGATCGGCATTTGTTCAGTATATACTGTATTTAAATGACTAATTCAGTTATTTTCTTTCAATGTGAGTAACACTGATCTCTGTGAATTTTGAGTTATATATAATTATCTCCATGATTTAAGTTTGATATTATGAACCAACCTTTAATACAGGTACATATGTTGCATTGATTAAAGTTATACCTGAGCTTTCTTTAAAGTTGAGATTTCACAGACTTTGAAAAGATTATAAAATCAATCTGAAGTGAAGATTATACTCACAGCGTCGAGTTGTTCTCGGGCGAGTCTTTCCCGTCTTTTAACCTCTAGTTCTTGTTCTAGTCGAGCTAATTCTCTAGATTTGTTGAGCGCCCTGAGATGTTCCAGTTCTATTCGTTCCATAGATCTGCTGCGTTGTAATGCGCGCTCCGTTCTCTCTAGGTCCAGTCTGTCGTACGCTGTCAGGGGACGTACGTACCTATCTGGTTTGTAAAGTAGTGTGTCTGTCAGAGTAGGTTTGTATAATACAGTGTCTGTCACTGTTGGTCTGTAGAGAACTCTGTCCACCTCGGGTAAAATCGTCTCCGTAATGTCTGTCACAGTAGAAAACTCTAACCAAATCGGATTTTCACCCTTTATACAAAACAGAGGAGCATATTTATTAACACAGACATTACTTTATAGCGGAACATTGCTGCAAATTTAAATATAGTTAAAAAATCCTTGATCACATTCTTATAATGGTTTGTGCTTCATTTCATTTCTGTTTGTGTTTACATAAAAACATGTAGCATGAAAATTCGAAATTGACACGCACTGCAAAATTTAGAATATGAAAATAGTCTGAAATATATTGTTTTTTTTAATAAGCCTAAATACTTACGGGAAAGTCGATAAGTCTGCGTAGCGGTATTTCCCTGATGGGTGAGGAGTGATACAGTGACCCGGAGGTGATGGGGAAAAGGACTTCCCGAGCGCTGGCTGAGTACGAGGCGAGTCTGACCGAGCCTCCGTAGCGAGATAACTGTACCAACTCAAAAACAACCAACTCATCTGTAAAAAAAAAAAACAAAAACATCCAGGAATGATATACAGTGAACATAATTGCTATTAGGGCCAAAGCCCCCCCCCCCCTTCCTTCCTAACTTTTTTGCAAAGATAGACATAATATAGGCATAAGGCATTGAAAATCTGGGGTTAACCTTTTTTGTTGGTTTTGCCCCCGCCCCCATTTCAATTAGCCACCCCACTTTCAATTTTTTTTATATTCTCCCTCACTTTGTTCGTCCGAATATAAATTAATTCTATTCTAAGTAATAACAAAAGAGACCATTTTAGGAGTGCTACTCGCTATAACCTTTCATCAATTAACATTCAAATTTTGATATTTATTTACGCATATACTTCAGTTAACTAAACTTTCATAAATCGGTATTTCGACAGAATAAATCCTGAAATTTCATTATTCAGCGTGAATATACGTGCATCGAGGTTATAGCGAGAGTCGATAAAGAATGCGTATGACCCAATGTATTTATAGTACTAGGTAACTGTTACCTAGTCACGTGATCTATGAGTATTTTCAGCAAGTAAACAACGAAAGGAATTTTATTTCCGAAACCTATGGATAACATACAAATAAAAATCTACACACAGGTATAAAATCTCCACTAACCTCTGAGGCGATCAAGGACTTCCGAAGACAACCCAGAGGTGTAGTAAGTCTGTAACACGGAAATGGCAGTCAGTATTCCGTAATTTACTAATTTGGTACTTATAGGATATTGGTTTTTATGACAGATGATACAAAAAACAACAAGGTTCCCATATGACATTTTTGGCCCTAATGAATTTAAAAAATAGTTTACTATTCTTTAAATATCCTTTAGACCTTTGGTGATTGCATTTCAATCAAAAAATGACCTAATTTGCTGGCTAGTCAATGCATTATGACGTCACGAACACAGGTGCTCGTGGACAGGATTGTTGTCGCTACATCCCGCTTTTATTTTTTAAAAGAAATATCTGCTTTTTCTCCATTTCTAATCGCTGACATTTTCATCCTTATCATCATGTATTTGTGTCGGTTTTTTTTTTTTTTGAAAATCACATAAATATATCAATCATATGAAATTTCTATTGTGCACAGTAGTTTTTAGTATATATAAAATCTGATTTCTTTTTTAATTGAAAGGGGGGGGGTAGGGATAATCCTGTCCACGAGCACCTGTGGTTTAATGCATAAAATGAACGGACCTCTTTTTCTTAAAAAATTAAAAATAACACGTTAAGCCATGATTATATTGGGAAAATGAACAGGTTTAACTGCATAAATTTTTTATTTTATTCAAAGTTTTACAAAAATTGAATTCAAAGTGACAAAAAAGATAAGAGAATAGATTCATGAGAATTGTTGCAGAAAAGGTAGAATTTTGAATATTATAGGAAGTTTAGAAATCCTATGACCCCCCCCCCCTTTTTTTCAGTGATTACCTTGTCAAACACGAGGTCCTGTTGTATATACAAGGGAAATGTTGATGTCAGTAGCCTGGTACTCTTGTTTTGTCCAAACAGACTAACACTGAGGCAAACGTCTTCCCGACTCAGAAAATACACACCCGGAGCCCTCACCTGTAATACGTCACGCAGGTACACACAGGTAAAGTCGAGCAGCGATATGTGGATCAATATCAGATGACAGATTTAAATTAGGTGTATATAGAACTTCTCTTTTGTACATTAACAAAGTTTAAATTGCCCTATCTTGTTATAACACATCTGCTTTATCAGTTTTAGTACTTGAGACAGTCATTTTCTTAAATCAATGATCTATCGATAGCCATTTAAAACAATAAAAACCCACAGTGTGTATTGCATTTTATCGATTTAAGTCGTGTATTGTATGTCATTACTGAGTTCATATAGATTTAAAATTTGCACGCACATGCAGACAATACTTACGGATCTTAGTTTTAAGTCCACAACGCATCGTACGCGCGGCATTTTCCCCTTTTTGTTTCTCCGCTAAATGAGAGCAATGACCAAAATTATGAGTCTGGTGAAATTTCACAATTATTTGTCGTCAAGGACGCAGAGAGAAACTGTCAATACCTACACGAAACAGCTCGCTCGTGAAACTTGTCGGGTATTTAAACTTTAACATGTTTAATACATAGTTTAAATATTTTATGTTCACTTAAATATATGTATAGCTTATTCAGAGTACCAAATTTACAAAAGGATAGGGAGCGAGCGTCGCCCCAATCATAACCTCATGATGAGGGTTGCCAGCTCAATTTTTTTCTCTCTGAAACCAGACTTTCTGGAACATGTGTCATTTCTTTTTTTATCCGCTTAAAAAAGTGGAGATACATGTACGTCCGTCGTATGCCCGTCCGTCCGTCTGTTATGCTTTGGGTTCAAATCTCATTCCCAAATCCTCCTATGTATGTATGTATGTAAGACCGCGGAACATTAACTGGCAAAATTGGAAATATACAGCTTACGTCATTTCTATCTGTTACAATCAAAACAATGAAATGGGCGGGTACAATTCGACGCGGACGTTTGGAAAACATGGGATTGAAATTGCAGATCGAATTCATTTTCAATCCACCTCAGCTACGTTAGAAGGCTCATATTACTGATTGACCCAGAAGACAAATAATTTCAACTTTGGTACAGTTTGAATTTTTTTTGTCCAGTGTTTTAAATGTATAAATATTTAAGGGACAAATATTTCATTTCTGTTTGATAAATATATGTATAACATTGTCTTGGTGATGGTGGTGGTGGGGGGGGGGGGGGGGGCTTGAACGATTTTTAAATAAAGTTGTCCAACAGTTTTCAGTGAGAATAAGTATAAAACTCATGCACTCTTATAATCCTAGAAGTAAAGTATATTGTCATTTAAGGCATGACCTGACTCGACAATTTTTTACCCCCTCCCCCTTCTAGAATAAAAAATCTGAAAAATAATCTTTGTCTTATATGATCTTTCGCGTTCTTAAAATTATAAGCTAAAACTAATATTAATGTGAACTTCAAACAATTAATATGTATTTGGGAGTTGAAATAATATAGTTGATTTTTGGATCATACATTCACTCTTTGCTTTGAAAACATCTCAGGTGGATTGAAAATGAATTTCGACCTGCAATTTCAATTCGATGTTTTCCAAACGTCCGCGTTGAATTGTACCCGCCCATTTCGTTGTCTATCACTGAATGTTTTAATTGTAACAGATAGAAATGACGTAAGCTGTATATTTCCAATTTTGCCAGTTAATGTTCCGCGGTCTAAGTTAATGACTATTGCATGTCATTGTTTATAGAGTTACATTAAAAGAGGGGGCTAGGATGGAATAAAAAAGTTGTAGATTAAGGATATTTTTTTTTTGAATTTTTAAATGTAATATGATGAGTAAGTAATTCCGAAAAAAAATATAATGTGCAATGTTCAATCCATTAGTGAAAAAAGTAATTGTTAAAGATTGAGAGATTCTACGCTCATTTATTTTTTATTTTTCCGAGAGATTGCTACACTGGCTCAGTTATTGGTCAGCTGTGAACTTTGTGACAGCCCTGCCCGACATTTCTGTAACGAGTGCCACGTGGGTTTGTGTGGAGGCTGCATTATGCACCTGAAAAGCCTGAAGTCTAAACCACACAGTATTGTCTCTTACTATAACGGGCGGGAACAGATCATCTTCCCTCCTTGTTTAATTCATTCCAACCAGAGATGTGAGGGACATTGTCAACAGTGTGATGCCCCTGTCTGTTTCAGGTGTGTCACCGGCTCCCACTGTGGCCATACTGTCATAAATACGATAGAAGCACTACGGAAGAAACAGGTCTAGGCGGCCTCTGTTTTTGGAGGATAGTTTTTATCCCCTAAAAACGGAGGATAGAGGTGTCGCCACCTACCGAACTTTTCAAAACAAAGGGCAGCCTACGCTGATTTTTCAACCAAAACAAATAAAATGTTAAATTTCATACGATGATGGTTGCAACGAGACTCAGAGGGCGGAGCTACATTCCGTTTCGTATTAGCCTTGTATACTGTTGTGTTAGCCAACTAAAATACAGCACGGTCAAAAAATGAATCTGATCAGTCAATTTATCAAAAGCACGTACAAATATTAATTAAATGCTGATTTTTTCCCTATTATAACTTTTGGAGAAATATTTTCCAAGCAATGTATTATATTGTCAAAATTTCTTAATCATTTTTTTTAATTATTCCTAACAGAATCTATATATTATATTTCGATCCAAACGATAACGAAAATTCAAAGTTACGGAAAAAATTGTATGTTGGATAATTTCCTGCAAACATGTTTGCTTTTCCTGCTTTTATTGTGTCCCTTTCAAATAAAAGTAAAGTCCATGGGTTCACGGATGCAGCATACATTAGGTGAAATCCGCACCCCCTCCATTTTCCTCTCTTCTCGTGCAAACTGGTTCAAGTACCTTCTTAGCCCCCCCCCCCCCCACTTTTTTTTTTAAAATTCATCTTTTAAAAATCTTTATCTCTGACGACTGCAGTGCAGACATCTCTTGCTTCGTTTTTAATGTCGCATTTCTATAACACAATAAAAATCTGTGACATCAAAGCCCAGCAAAGACCTGTCTGTATCTGTATCTAATTAAACTGAGATTTTAAGAACCCTGAAATAAATTAGGATCAATCTCCATCTATAGCACGGTTAAACCGTCATCTTTATCAGTTAAGACTGAATAAAATTCAATCACGTCTATCCCGTTGACAAAACTAATCTGACTGAAACTTACATTGTCCGTGGAAATATAAAAACTGCGGATGCATACTCCCCCGTCGAGGCCTCATATAGGAATTTGGATGCTGCACAGCTATAAAGTGGGTGGCGGTGCTTTTTCTTGATTTCTCTAAATAATACTTATTTTATCTTCAAATTGTTTTATTTGCTAAAATTATCAGGCAGAGTGTATTTTTTCTTTACAGTACTTTTTTTTTGTGTGTTTCCCTTTTCTCTAATTTTGAATTAAATGAAAATAATATCATGTATGTATTGTTTGAGCATTTAAGTGCCTGTTTATTTGTCTTAGAGTATATGGTATATATAGGGAAAAAACATATAAAAATTAAACAAAATACCAAGAAATATTAAGTAGAAATGAATCGTAAGAGTGCCAACTTTGAAAGCGTTTTGTAAAAATTCTAGACATAGAATCTCAAATCGCCACATACAATCGATAGTTTAATGTTTGAACTTTTATTTAATTGTCTCTCGTGCTTGCACTTCGGAATGCCAGCAATGGAAGCGCGCAGGACAGGGAAAGTTTTGATTAAAGATAGGCATGAGGCGTTTGAAAATTACCTGTGTTATCCTCTTAAAACAGAAGATAAACTATCCGACATTGCATTGCCATTTCCATATATGGTAAAAAATTTGGCTGCCATATTGAATTTAGCGATCCTCCAAAAACGGAGGCCGCCCAGACCTGAGAAAGAAGAAAAAAAAAGAGAAACGGAAGAAATTAAATCAATTATTTTGTACAGTGTACCCAGAGTGAACCTTGAACAAAAAAATATCCGAGACCAGACCAGTCGTCGACATTCCGTCTGGAGTGACGCCTTTAGGTTCCTTGGTCTGTGTTGGAACACACGAAGCTTGGATCCGCGGAGGCGACAAAACCATAAGACGTATCAACATGCACGGGTCTGTGATGGAAGCTTTTTTCACAAAATGTATTTATCATTTCCCCCTCATATATCACTGACAAGGCAGGGGGAATTGATTTACAGTGACCATGACAAAAGAAATGTGTACATTGTAAGAGCTTTATTTTCCTATTTTTTACCAACCCAAAGGGTAGGAGAGAGACTCTGATTTCCACCCCACGACACTGGCATCCTCTGGGACTGTGTTGTACCAGGTCAGGAGACCTCTTGGTGAGTATGAATACAACTGATCAAATCATTACAAAGTAGTCCGGTATCAGGGACAGAGAGTGACCCAAGAAATCGATAAAGATGATCAGGGAGACCCCATTCTTAGAGCTGGTGAGGGTGTAATCTTTGTGGGGGAGAATAATAATGATGATATATGTGTCTCTGATAGCAATGCTAGGAGCGTGGTAGTGGTGAGCACGATGGGGAGTGTTCGATTTCGATACGACGGAAAACAAGCCAAGAGGAAAGCCTGATTTCTTCCCTGTCAGATTGTGACCGATTTTAACAATGCCTTCCTTCACATTCTAGACCAGAATGGACAGTTTCTGAGATGTGTGGACGAGTGTGGGCTGGAGAAGCCCTTTGGATTGAGTGTGGATAATGTAGGTAGACTGTGGGTAGGCTTACAAACTTCCAGAATAGTGAAAGTCATTCAGTATATGAAATAGCATGGAGGAACAAATCTATTCTAATATACACTGAGTGTATTCCTGGTCTTCTTCCTGCATGAATCAACATTTTCGAGAGTCAAGAATTTTCCAACTGGATTGATTAGTTTACAAAAGAACTAAATCAGTTGGTAATTATCTATAAGCTAAATATAGCTGCAGATCTGTAGCAATCTGACCGGGAAAAAATAGAATCCAACTATCCCAATTTTTTGCAGACTAACCAGCTACAGATCTTTAACTATAAGCTAAACAAGGAGTAAAATCTTAAAAGTAGGTTTTTTTCAGCGTACACTTGCCAATCAGCTTCACGTATCTCTTGGTCAACGTATCCAACTTTTGTGATATTACCAAGAATTTCATAGTCTCAAGCCACGCTTTGGAGTCCCGAATAGCTCTCTCCTACATGGCCAGAATGGGAAAGGATTGTACATTTTGGCCGTGGTTTGCGATGATGCAAGAATTTCCAAATTTATAGTTTGTAATCATCATCATCTGCTGTTATAATTTCATTTCTTGTAATATTGACATGTTGCTTCTATCAATTTTTTGATTTTTCTTTTTTTATTATATGTATTTTTCTTTACTTGTATACCCAGAAGGGGCTCAAATTTGTATCAATAAATCTTATTTTAGGGGGGGGGGTTAACCCCAAGCACCAGTGGATATAGGAGTTGTTGTATAAGATGGGTACACCCATATCATAGAAATAATGGCAGTGTTTTCCTTTTCATCTTGCT